AGAAAACATACCTTGTGAGGTATCGTTGGGGTATCATTGAAATCGCCCATTACATGGAAGCAAAAACGGATCCGCACTCTTTCCCGAGCTCTGCCCATGATCAAGGTCAAGCTGAGTAGACCGCTGGTGCGCAGGCCAAAACGGCTCCAAGCTGTGACAACTCTCTAAGGATCTTTCTGCAATGCACGTCTTAGAGGTATCGCTTTTAGGACGTCCCCTATCGTTTTTCGAGGAAAGCATTAACAACAAAGGAAGCACTAGCTGCGTGCAACACCCCACTTAAACTTGAGGATAGTTCTGTCTCTGACTCAATACTGTTTCATTCTGATACTGATACTTTCTCAATTGCATCTCTGAGTCTATTTTGTTGGGGAGTTTCACGCATGGTCGCTGGATTCGAAGCTCTGGTTTATTCTGGCAGGTTAAAATGAAGCTGATGGGTGACAGTGGAAGCTCAATCCCCTGAGTGGCCTCCCAACCTCAAAAACTAAACTTTGGCTCGGAACAACGAACGCTTCACAAATCCGAAGACACTCTGCACCTTGCGGCTGTGAGCAAATCGCGGCTCTGAAGACCTCCCCTCAGTGGCCAAATCCCAAACAAAGCTCTTCCGAGACGAAAACTCCCAACATCTCCCAACATGGTGAAGCAAACGACCGGGCCATCAAACCCGGCCAAATGGGATGTCAGAGTGGCCGGGGATTCGGATTCATGCACTCCACCCCCTTCCCAGCTCCAAGCGGCGATCGTCCTTCAAGTCCTGGTGGAGTCGGCGGAGACGGGCTGAGCACCGCCGGTGTGCTAAGCCAGGGAGTAGATGTTCGATAGTGTGCGATAGCCTTTTAACATGGAATGTTTTCACATCTCTCTGCCTTAGCTTTTGATTGACAAGTTTGCTGAAGTGTCCCCCTTTTCAGTGGCTCCTAAATAGAGTTATATAGTGAGCATCGCAACCTCTCAAATCCCGTGATAGGGTTCCACATTGACTCAAAAAGACCGTGTTGAAAGCGAATACGTGTTGGTTTGCAACTCAGGATCTGGTATATCATCTCTACCGTGTTGTTAGGGGGGGCCTCCAGGAAATCTAAAATACATTTTCCATTGAAACCACCTCCAATAAAACACCTCCAAAATGTAATTAATGTGTCATTTTTGAAGTCGATGAAGTTACATTAACAAACAAAATGAAACTTGCATTTTTGCCCCCTGATCAAAGAGCCTAAATGTAACTTACTAGTTCTACAAAAATGTAAGTTACAGTTTGGCGAAAATGCAACTTACATTTCCACTGGTTTCTGTATCCGGTGTTTGACTTGAAAGATCTTGCAAACGTCGCAGCGCTCCTTTTGCCATCATCTTGCCCACTGCCCAACGCACGATGTAGGCTGCGGCTAATGATTTCTTATCCAACACCTATTTGAATTCATAGTGGTATAGGGCGGCTGGGGCATCAACAAGCCATCAACAAGCCTGTTATGCCGGAACCAAAAAATTGAGCCCGGCCCATCCTCGCTGACAAATTGAAGCACTTGCCAGCTGTAGCTGCATTTCTGGGAGTCTGTGAGGATTGACAAAAGGAAGCTCTGGTCCGTACCTGAGCTGGACCCCTTCCGAGGTTCACAGAAACCATTTGCAACAGCTGCGCAGCTGCGTCCGGTTCTTGTGCTGTCAAGGGATCGCCAGAGTGTGATCTAGAAATACCATGGACCATGACCATGGCTTTCTCAGAATTAAAGAATAGGTGGGTCATTAGGGCTTTGACTACCACCGAAGAGTCTGTCGCCCAGCCTGGGTGTTGGTAGGTCCCTGAGTGAAATGACACTATAGATAGTTTGTACAGTAATCGTGTGTGTGTGTGTGTCAACATATTGTCTTCCAGAGAAAAGGCCCATTACCTACCCTAAATCTGTGAAGGTGTCTCGCAAAAAAAAAAGAAAACACCCAATGTCAGTGCCAAATGGGCACGTTCCGAACATCAATGACCATCACATCAAGCGCATGTTGCCTTGACTCCTCCCACCCGGCGACCAAACAGGTCCAAGAGGTCCAAGGTGCAAATCCGCTGTTTGTGCGGCTCCAACTCTGAGACCGTCGACGGGACCGGGAGGATGAAGGCTTTGGCCAAGTCCCACCAGAGCTCCTCGTGGGGCCCGGTGACGTCGAAAGGACATCGGCGAGGTGCCCGATGTGAAAGCCTACTTGGTAGGCTACTATTTGCACTGCTAATGTCCGCCTCTAAACAATAAACCCCCCCCCCTTGATCAAGTGTAAAATCCAGAAAAATCCTAGAAAATCTTGATTTGAATTGGAAATGAAAGGAAAGGAAAGGAGATTGAAGGAAAGGAAAGAAATGAAAGGGAAATAAAAGGAGATAAAAGGACATGAAAGGGAAACAAAAGGAAATGAAAGGGAAATGAAAGGAAAGAAAAGGAAATGAAAGGAACACACATGGAAAGAAAAGGAAATGAAAGGAGCATATATGGAAAGAAAAGGAAATGAAAGGGAAACAAAAGGAAATGAAACCAGCCAGGTTTGGTTTAGCATTATTTCAGGTCTGGTGTAGTTGAAGGTTTGGGCAGCTTGTGGGG